CCTGGCTGAATCCAGCACAGTTTCCTTCTCTGTAATATACATACATGAAGGGTTATTGCTTCTTCATTTGCAGTGGACAAAAAGCATAACCAATATAAAAATGAGTACCCAAAACAGGTTATCCCAATAAAACAGAAGGGTGAGGCTTTCAGAAGGGCATCTGTGTTCCTCAGCTCCACTCCCATGGTCACCTTCTGCAGCCCAAAGTAGCCCATTGTTTCTGCCTGGCACAGCCATCATCACAAGGAGAACCTTCCTTTGCCATGCCGTCAGGTTGTGCTCTGCCAGGGTCTCATATTTGTTTTAGCTTCCATTCTAGCGAGCGTTGTGGCTTCTCACTTAGTGCAGGCTTTCTCAGACCCTGACTCCTTTCTCACGGTGGGTAAATGGAACTAACCAAGCCTGTCTTGAGCTGATCTGTTCAGCGCTGACCTCAGCCCACTGAATGGGGAAATACCTTTCCTGTTCTTGGGGTGAGAAGAAATGAGGACCGTCTGTGGTGAGCAGCAAGACTGAGGTGCTTGAACGCCTGCAAATTTGTTCCACCTCGACTGTGCAAGGGTGATCATCAGCACATTTTGGGAACCTTCGCTTGTTTCTTACAGCTTCTTTATCTAGCTGGGCTGATCACCAGGAGCTTGGGAATCCAAGCCAATAGCTGCATTGGTTTCTGCAGATGGGCTTTCACATACGTGTTTTGAAAAGCACTGCCCTGTGCAGTTAAGCAGGCTCTGTCAGCTGCAGCTTCAACAATGACCCTTTTCCCAGACATTGTGCTTCCTGGGGAGATCATCACCATGCTGTATGAGGAAGGCCAGCAGAACAGCATTCTTGCAAAATAACTGAGGACAACTGAAAGCCAGTACATCACCCACCTTGTGCACAAACTGAAAATTGTCAACATTTTCAGTTTTCTTTTTTCTGACATGCAGTCTTATTTCAAAGGTTTCCATACACTGGCCACGTTTTACTAAAGTTACCTGAGATTTGGGGTTTCCCCATTTTTGAGTGTCCGTCTGGAGACAGCGTGGTCAATCAGCTCTTGCCCTTAGTTTATCACACAAAAAGCAGGGTAGCTGGAACAAGTGCTGAGAGAGGTTGTGGAGTGTCCATCCTTGGAATTATTTAAAACTCAGCTGAGCAGGGACATGAGAAACCTGCTGTATATTTTAGGTTACTCCTGCTTCGAACAGGAAGTTGATCCAGATGCCTTCCAGAGATTCTCTCCAAACCAGATTTTTCAAGATTATGTGGTCTAATGGACCAAGACATTTCCTCCAGGTTTTGGAGGAAAAGTCTGTGATTCTTGCTGGGGAAGGAACCAGTTTCTGCAGAGCCAGAACTGACATATACTGATTTATTTGAAGACTTCTTTAACCTTCATCTAGGAGTCATTATGGAGTGGTTCCACCTATGCTGTTGGAGTTGCAGGGGGAATTTTGGTCTCCCAAGTGCCCTCTGGATATCTTCACCTCACAGTCAGTGAGATGGTGCTAGTGAGGAATTTGGATGTGGAAGTGCTGACGTTCCTCTGAGAAAGGTTGCATTTAGGTGGTGTGTCGCTGCCTTGTAACCAGTGAGAAAGTTTGATAGCACATTTGATTCAGCAGAAAAATGACCACTGCCTCTTTTCTTGTGCATGGGAGAATGAGACAGATATCTAAAAGGAAGCATTAAATGCCTAGACCAGGTCCCAGTATACTTTTGCAGTTTTGTTCTTGTGGGATGTTGCAAAGGGACCTTAATTTTAGCAGGATCTCTGCGAAAAATGCTTTCCCCCCACCCTAGGATCCTGCTCTGTTGACTTTAAGATGACCGTATCCTCAAATGTCTGTAAAAGCTTTTGGTCTCAGTTTTTCATTAAGTTCTCTGCTTTCTCTTTGCAGACATGAATGAGGAGAGGTTGGGTGATGCCAGTGGAGCAGACAGTGCCGAGACCTACAGTGACAAAGACACAGACCAAAGGAGTTCCCCAGACATGACTAAAGCCAAAAGTTGCTTCACTCCTGAAAGCCCTGAAATTGTTTCAGTGGATGAGGTCGGTTATGCAGTTCAGAAAAATGGTGGGAGCACAGAGAGCCGCCCAGACAGCCCCAAGTACCACCCAGAGCAGAACCACCTGCTGATAGAAGGTCCTTCTGGGACAGTTTCTTTACCTTTCAGTTTGAAAGCCAACAGACCTCCACTTGAAGTCTTGAAAAAGATCTTCCCTAACCAAAAGCCAACTGTGCTGGAGTTGATCCTGAAGGGGTGTGGTGGTGATCTGGTGAGTGCTGTAGAGGTTCTCCTGTCCAGTCGGTCTTCGGTGGCCAGTGGGGAAAGAACTTCTGCGGAATCCGATGGTCTTGTTTTGCCTTCCAATGGGCACATTTTTGAACACACGCTCAGTTCGTACCCTATTTCCTCTTCCAAGTGGTCCGTGGGCTCAGCATTTAGGGTTCCCGACACGCTGAGGTTCTCTGCTGATTCTAGTAATGTGGTGCCCAACCCTCTGGCTGTACCTTTGCAGCACCCTTTCCCTCAGCCGCCACGCTACCCGCTGATGCTGAGGAACACTTTGGCAAGAAACCAGTCCAGTCCATTCCTGCCCAACGATGTCACCCTGTGGAACACCATGACGCTGCAACAGCAGTACCAGCTGCGGTCCCAGTATGTCAGTCCTTTCACTAGCAACTCAGCCAGCGTTTTCCGAAGCTCACCTGTCCTTCCTTCCCGCTCATCAGAAGATCCTAGGATCTCAATCCCTGATGATGGATGTCCTATTGTGTCTAAGCAACCGATATACACAGAAGATGAGTATGATGAAAGGTCTGATTCTTCAGACTCACGAATACTCAACACATCTTCTTAGACTGACATTCCATGCGTGATAGCTAAGTGATACTTGCAGTGCAGCTGAACTACTGGGCCCTAAGAGGAGGGACACATACTCTACGAAACCCTTGCAATTGTATTAAAAAGTGACTATGCTTGGTATTGTACTATAGCAATAAAGACATAACTTATTATATTTCTTGCACTTCACTGAATAATGCCAAATAGCAATACTCTGGCTTTAGTGCTGTGTGTGTGTTACAAAGGAAGACTTTATGGCTACCAGTTATGCGGCTCTGGAAGACTCATAATGGAAACAGAAGCCCAAAGTCTACCTTGTTCCTTAACTCAGAAAAATGGGGATGTTAAACTAGAATACTTGAATGTTGTTTTGTAAGAGAGAACTCCTCAGGATGTAAGAAATCAAACAAACGTAGTTCAATTGCAAATGGACTAAAACAAGGACCTTCAAGTCCTATGCCAGTGATCATCCTTGCAGTGAAAGAAAAGGCAGAAGAAAGAAATATGCACATGAAACTAGCATGAGCTGCTTCTGTGCCATTTGAGCTTGGACACCTTTCAGAGAAATAATATTGAGTTATTCTTTTCCCATGGCTAGGCTGAAATGTGTAATGTCAGTGTAAAACCAATTACAGATGTGAATTGCATGAAGTGTATTGTGAAATGAACACCAGATTAAGCATTGTCAGGTTAATGTAGCATGCTAAGGACTCTAGAAAAATAAACTAAGGTGATGATCTTGGTTTATGTCATTTATACTGGGCAAATAACATTTCTGAAGACAGAGAGCTGATTAGTCTTCAGACGGGGTTAAAATGTCCAGCTCCAGCAACTGCAGTCAAGGGAAACCTATTTTCCAGGTCCGAGTTCTGCTTCCCTGCCTTGTAGCTTGCAACTGAGATTAAGCAAATACTGTCATCAGGGAAGCTGAGGTCTCTTGAGTGTGTACTGCAGACACTTCCAAGCTCAGCTGAGTAAAGCAAAGTTTGCTACCATCAAGGCAAGCAGAAAAAACGCTCTCCCAGTGCTTCAGAAGCATCTTTTTTCCTATACCGTAGAAGTAGAAAAGAGGAAATAGAATGTAATAGCAGGTCTTTCTTTAAAATAATGTTTAGCTAAATGGCAACTTCCCTAACACTAGGAAAGTAATGGTTTGAACAATTTATTGCATGTTTGCATGCACTGATTACACTGCATATCTATGTGTGTCACCATAACATTAGGAATTGCTTCTGATGAGAAATGCCACTAAGTTAATTGTCCACTTAGACGTTTGTTAAGGTTTTAGTGCCATTTTTTCAACATTTCACAAGTGACCACATCCGCTTGACACTTGGCCTTTCCAAAACACACCTCTGAATGCCGGTGAAATGGCTGTCAGGCCTGTCAGGTGTTAGTCCCACACCTCAAAAGCAACTCCGGCTGCCCTGAAGCTGGACTCTAAAGCAGGTGGGCTTTAAAACTGTAATATGTATCGGGACAGTTATCTGGTTTCATTGCTGGTAGGAATGCCTGTGTTCTCTTCTGGCATTTCATATTTTGTAAGCTTTGTGCACCCCGTGAATCTTGCGTTTTATAAGTGTACCGAACATGCACAAAAAGAAGAATAAAATAATAATTTTATTTTCCTTAGGGGATAAATGATCAGAAATCTACTTTTTCTTGCATGATTTTCCAACCTGTTCAGAAAAGCAATTTGTCGGTAACACTACAGGGCAAAGACATAAAATCAGGGTGAGGGTGGAAAGAAAATAAATAGCTTCCTTTATGGAAATGTGAATTTGAAAACATCTGGAATTTTCATAAACACAGAATTACAGTTTTGTACTGACACATTCACCTGCACTCACATGGCACTTGTAAACAAATTCATCTTCCAGCCTTTCTAGGAAGAAAATTAAATAGGTAAAATGGGCTTGATCTTGCAAACATAAAGGGTTGGGGTAGTGAAAGGCAACAAGTACAAAGTGCAACAGCATGGAGAAACTGTCAAAGGCTAGATAAGAGCAAATAGATCCAGGAGCTCTTGTTTAGACCTCAGATACCAAGCAGATTTCCCGCCATCAGAAACCCTTATATAGGCATCTCTGTACATTGAATGAAAGCTTGAATTTTATTCTTTTTTTTCCCTGCTGCAGAGGGTGGATCATCTCCAGCAGAAAGAACGAACAGTGGCGCCCGTGGCAGGTCGTAGTGACCTTACACACCGTGGGTTTTCAGGGAACAGAATTTTGGCATCTTGGAATTGGGACACATCTTTCGAAGAAAGGTGACCCTTGGCTAAAGTGGAGTGAACTATTATCACTCTAAATGCTTTGTGGTGAAAAATGGCGATTCAGTGGTATGATTTTTTCAATTAGATCACTTTTGATAAGCTGTTTCTGAAAAAGAAAGCAAGTTCAAAGAACCCTTGTCCCGGTTCGGCAGACCCTCTCCGTGCTGGTGAGGGATGCCCATCCCCTCCCATCCTCTCAGCATGGGCAGCCAAGAGCTGGGGGAGCCCTGGGAGCCCCGTCCAGGCCCCCGGGAGCTGGTGGCCCCATTCCGGCTCAGTCCGTGCTCCTGCTGGGGCCGGTGGCAGCTCTGTCACCGCAGCGGCTGCAGCAGGGCTGTGCCCGGGGCCTGCGGAGCCTCCTGTCACGCGGCTCCGGCGGAGGTCTGCGGCTGCGACACCCAAACCCTGTGTTTTCCAGCTCCATCTTGTGGTAAAAAAGGGTATTTTCATGTCGGAGCAAATCCATGCTGACGAGGAGGGGTGTGTGGGTGAGGAGCGGTGAAGCTGGGGGCATTGGTGCTCAGAAACGCCCAGCCGAAAAAATGTATTTAAGCATCAGGAAAGATGGCTTGCGCCTGTCAAGGTGTCTGCTAAAGCCCAGAAACCAAGAGGTCCCTTTTTAAATTTTTTTTTTCCTTTGGGTGCCAGGGCAAGCTGTGGCTTTCTTGGAGCAAGAGAGCTTCACCCTTTGCCCTCATCACAGTTCCTGCTCCTGGTTGAGCAGCTGCCTGGCCGCCTCTCTCGGTTGTCTTTTTCTCCTGTCAGGCAGGTGATGTCACTGCCAGCTCTCTGCGGGTGCACAAAAAACCAGTGGGCAATGCCTCGGGAAGGTTGCTCTGTCGTCATCAGCAGCGGGGCAGGCCCACCAGAGACCGGAGCAGCGCACCCTGCAGAGGCTGGCTGCTGCCCCAGAGGCACCCTGCTTCAACAACCCCACCCTCCGCCGCTGACTTCTAGCTGTGACAAGGTGGATAAAGCGCAAGACGATGCAAACAGTATCAATAGTAACTTCTCCCTCAGAGGGGTGCTGCAGAGAATTCTAGCAGAATGCTCCTGTTCTCCAGCAGCTGATCTGCCTGTAGGTAAGGGAGGAGTCAGAGTGTGGGGTAAGCACAGTGCAGTCGGGATGTCCTGCCCCAAACTCCCCCTTCCTTTGCCTTTGCCGGTGGTGGTGCTGGTCCCCCTTGGGGGTCCCTGACTTGCCCTCCTTAGGGCCTGAAAGGCCACCTCTGCAACATTATTTGTTGGGTGCTTGGTGAACAGGCTCACCTCACATTTGTGCTGACATCTTTGAAAAATGACTTTGATTCTCTCAGTATACTGTTTCAGTGATTCATTCTTTATGTGCATTTACTCAGAGGACGTGAGTGGGGAAAAAAGATTGATGCTAAATTTATATGTTAATTTTAATATTGAAGCTATTCTGTATTTGAAGAATAAGATCAATTCTTCAATTTCATTCCTTACGTGATATTGCATATTGTCATTACTGGAAAATAAAATTATTTCTGAATGCATACTATCCAAACTTCAATTTTAGTGGACATATAACTCTGAAGATTCCTTCTTCTCCCTTCCCTATAACACTTAATACAGTATTTTAACATTTGTGCACTAGTCTGCCACTGGAAGATAACAAAGACATGTCTTTTCACTCTGAATGGTGTTTCATTAATGTGATCTCTGCAGCATTCTGCACTGTCACGGGCAGATTTGGTGCATGACTCAGCAACCGCAGGCAGTTGCACATATGGTACAACAGAAATCTTAGTTAAGAGTTGATGCCTCACTAGAGACTAATTCCATTAATTTCCACAGTAGCAGCAGTGCTTGAGCACAGCAGCCACAGCTATACACCAAGCACACCTATATACTAGGTGAATCCTGACCTTAACCAGAGGATCAAACCCTTACGGCACTACCAAGAAGCAGCTCCTGTAGAGGATGGATACAGACCATCACATGCACAGGAAGATTTGGGATCTACAGGGGGAGATGTACTTCAAGGAGGTCTGCTGCCAGAGACTGGACTCTCCTGAAACTGCAACAGCAAGAAAATATTTACAGCATCTTTGGGAGTGTGGTTTGTTATTTTTTTCTCCATAAGCTGTGCAGGAGATTAAGCTGAGGGACGGATAACAGGGCTTGCCCTGATCACTAACATGAAGAGATGCATAGGTCAGTCTAAATTTCAGGTGTCCCTTTTTTCCTCTCCAGGAGTTAAAGATAAGTGCTACAAGGATTTAATTATTACCTGAAAATACTTAGAAAACATAAGTGCTCTGTAAATATGAGAGCACAGCATAGTGTTTGCCAGGGCATGTGGTATAAGATTTAGTTTCTAATTTTTCTTTCCTGGAGAGAGAGGCTACAGCTTTTCAATAGCTGAACAGTGACTACCTTCAGCAAGAGAGTTCCCCTGAAAAGCTAAGGTCAGGTTAATCCTGAGTCAGCCACTGTCATACAATGGCTAAAAGTTGTGAGACCGAAGGCAGACATTGCTTGGGTTCTTTACATCTGTCATATTTCTGAGCCTATAGAATTCATACATTCCAACTTTCTCCTCTGCAACACCCAGATAAACCCAGAAATCTCATGATAAAATTGTACTAAGCTTCCCTAAGGGCAGCAAATACATGAGCCAGTAAAAGGCTGAAGAAAAGTGAGAAAGAAGAACTTCAGACATGAGAAAGTCTATTCTTTCTTCTAGGCCCTACTTGTGTGGCTCAGGAGAAGATGGTCTCCTCCTGGTGTTCCCAGGGAAGGTGAGCACACACTGGCACTTCCCCCAGCACGATGCATCTCAGCCTGGGGGCTGCAGACGCCCTCGGGAGTGGGTGTGTGTTATAGGAGAAAGGCAGTGCAAGAGCAAGTACCGTAGCTGCAGCACCATTGTGAAGGCACTTGTGGTAACCAATGGAGGAAGTTACTTCCCTGC